TCAGCCCATCCTGTTGATGATTTAATTGGTATAGTGTTTGTCCTTTATTTAAATTCTTGCGTTGCCATTGATTTTGACTAGTGTTTGTGCAGGTATCATGGCGAACTACGACGACGAGTTGGATATTCGTGCCCTGATCCAGAGCCGAGTTGTAAAGCAATCGGCTCCACATGGGGAGGACCGGGCTCCAGCACGTGAGACGGCTCGGCCTCAACCGCAGCCAAGGGAGAAGAGCAACCAGGATGCCCAAAGGGCGAAGAGCAAAAGGAGGGTTGAGGCCGAGGCTGAGGCGCGCCGGCAAAAACAACAAAGGCTGCCCGCTCTTGTGGCTCCTCAGGGGCTTGTGAGTCCCAGCTTCTTGGCCTCGAATGTCAGTGCCCAAGATAACTTGAGACAAGACCTGACTTCAGAGATGGGGCAGTCCATACTAGGACAGATGACCGCGTCCCATAAGTGGACTTTTTTCTGCGAGTTGCAGGCTCGGGCCCCGGCTTTGGCTCAAAGCATTATGATGCAACCAAGCGCCGAGGCCGACGGACTGCGCCGACAGCTGGCCGAGTTGGAGAAGTCCATGTAGGAGACCTTGGCGGCTCTATCCGAGGCACAAGGGCATGGCAAGAAATGCGAGGCGGAGCTGGATTGTCAGAGTCGTCAGAATGATGACCTGACCTTGAAGGTTCAAAGGTTGGAGCATCTGCTGAAGACTGAGGCTGAGAAGTCGGCTTTGCTGCTAAAGGAGCTAGAAGCCGAGAAGAAGGAGTTCGGCTCATACCGGGAGAGGGCCAGGAGCAAGGTTCTTTCTCAGCATGAAGCCGGCTTCGCCCAAGCGGCTCGGCAAGCTCGGCATTTTGGGAGTTTGCCTTAGGACTTTCAATTTGATATGACCATGGACTTCTATCGGGGGAAATATGTCAATTTGACCCAAATCCCGCCGAATGAGCAGCCAGACACTGAAGTCCCTGTTCGTCCTGAGGCCGCACCGAGTGAAGGTGGTCATGTGTAGGAAGAAGTGGCCGAGCAGGAGCCTTTAGTACAAGGGGAGCCCGAGGCACAAGCTTAGGGTGATTTTCTTTTGATTTTGTATGTTGGGGCCGATAGGGCCCCGTTTAATCTCTTGTAATTTCGGGCCGTTAGAGCCCTTTTGATTTGTTAATGCAATTTCCTGCTTTTATCAGTGTTTCCGAGCGAACAGCAGTATAATAAATTTGTCGAACGTAGTATAGTTTATATTTAACGCGTGGAAGACTTGAGTCATACCCTTAACCGAGAGGACTTCTCGAGGGGAGGTAATTGTAAAAGTCACATCCTTAGCCGAGAGTCGTCTCGGAAAGGAAGACGAAATTTGAAGTCATATCCTTGGCCGTGAAACATCTCGGGAGGGAAGACTTGTAAATTGAAACGAAAGCCACATCCTTGGCCGAGAGACATCTCGGGAGGGAAGACTTGTAAATTGAAACGAAAGCCACATCCTTGGCCGAGAGACATCTCGGGAGGGAAGACTTGTAAATTGAAACGAAAGCCACATCCTTGGCCGAGAGACATCTCGGGAGGGAAGACTTGTAAATTGAAACGAAAGCCACATCCTTGGCCGAGAGACATCTCGGGAGGGAAGACTTGTAAATTTTGCATGAATATAAAGCAAGACATAAATAGCTGAATTGTATTGTTATTGATGATTGGATGCCTCGTTAAAAACCTTGCCGGCCAAAAACCTCTTTTCACATTTTTCTAAGAGGAAAAAAAGACCGGTTCAAGGAAAAGAGTGCACCGTAAGACATTTACACATATACATGAAGTGGAATCCTAACTGTAATAGGTCTTCAAATGGGTAGAATTCCATGTCCGGGGGATGATCTTGCCGGTCAATTCTTCTAACTTGTAAGAACCATTATTAAGGGTGTGTCTGACTTTGAATGGGCCGTCCCAATTATTAAGGGTGTGTCTGACTCTGAATGGGCCGAGCCAGTTGATCGCCAAACCAGATCACCTTCTTGGAAACTCCTTGGTTTTATCTTGGAGTTAAATCGTCGGGTCATTCGTTGTTTACACGCTTCAGCGATGACTTGCGATTTCTCTCGGACCTCATCCACGATGTCTAGTTCAACTTGGATTGCGCCATCGTTAGACTCCTCATGAAAGTGTGTTCATCGGAATGAAGGTTCGCCAACCTCGAATGGAATCATAGCATCCGTGCCGTATGCCAGCCGGAACGGAGTTTCCTTTGTGCTTGATTGAGGTGTGCACCTGTATCCCCAAAAACCTGCAGGAAGCTCTTCGCCCAATCCTCCTTTGGCCGTCCCAAGCCGTTTCTTCAACTCGGTGAGGAGAACCTTGTTAGCAGCTTTGGCTTGACCTTTGGACTGTGGGTGCTCGACAGAAGTGAACCGGTGTCGGATGCCAAGGTTTTTAAGAAAGAAGTTGAATTTCTTATCCGTGAATTGCAGTCCATTATCGGAGATGATTGCGTATGGGATGCCGAACCGGGTGATGATGTTTTTCCATACGAATTTTTGAACATTAGCTGCTGTAATGGTAGCTAGCGGCTCGGCTTCAATCCACTTAGTAAAATAATCAACGGCCACTACCAGAAACTTGCATTGACCTTTAGCGAGTGGAAACGGGCCGAGAATATTAATGCCCCATAAGGCAAACGGCCAAGGGGAGCTGACCGAGTGGAGCTACTCAGCCGAGGCATGTATTAGGTTGCCATGCTGTTGGCATTGCTTGCACTTTTCCACATATTCGGCGCAGTTAGTTTTCAAGGTCAGCCAATAGTAGCCGGCTCTCAACACTTTAGTAGCTAAGGTTCTTGCACCTGAGTATGATCCACAAATTCCTTCATGAACTTCTCGTAGAACATAGTCGGCTTGTGGCTGGTCAAGGCATTTTAATAAGGGTGTAGAGAACCCTCGTCGGTATAGTTCACAGGCAATTACAGAGTAACGTGCTGCTTGAGTTCGGACTTTCTTGGCTTCCAACGGATCAGACGGTTCAGAACTGTTGATGATGTAATTAATGATGTTGGTCATCCATGAACTTGTCGGTCTTTCAATCGGCATGCACTCTTGTGGAATACTTGATGCAGGTAGTTCCAAGTGAATGGTTGACCGAAGCTGTCCTGGTTTTCGGCTACTAGCTAATCGGGCTAGTTGGTCAGCTCTCTCATTGTGACACCGTGGTGTGTGTCAGACTTGTACTTCATGAAACTGATCCTTCATTGCCTTGAACATGTGGTAATACTTCAACAAATGCGCGTCTTTGACTTGAAAGTTGTCATTGACCTGTTCAGCCACCACCTTCGAGTCAGTCCAACACACAACTTTTGTAGCACCCATCTCGACAGCCAACCTCATGCCGGCAAGCAAAGCTTCATATTCTGCTTGGTTATTAGAGGTCTTGAAGCCGAATCGCAACGATTGTTCAAGGATAATTCCGGATGGGCTTTCCAAGATTATGCCGGCACCACTTCCTTGTTGATTGGACGACCCATCCACATGCATAGTCCAAGCGGTATCTTCAAACTGGCCGAGTGGTGATAATTCATTAACGAACTCGGCTAAGCTTTGTGCTTTGATGGCTCCTCGAGGCTCGAAACGGATATCAAACTCAGAGAGCTCAATTGACCATGCCATCATTCGGCCGGCTAATTCTGGTTTTCGCAGTACTTTGGCAATCGGACAATCTGTTTGGACTACGACGGTACTCTGAAAGTACTGACGGAGACGCCTAGCCGCATACATGAGTGCCAATGCTACCTTCTCTAGCAGTTGGTATCGCCGTTCGGCATCTTGCAACACTCGGCTAATGAAGTATATCGGTTGTTGTTGTCCGTCATGTTCCCGTATCAAGCCAGCGCTTATGGCTTCGCCGAAACCGCCAAGTACAAGATTAGTTCTTGCCCGGATGTTGGCTTGGTCAATACCGGGGGAGTGCCAAGGCATTTCTTGAAAAGTTGAAAAGATATTTCGCATTCTTCTGTCCATTGAAATCTGTTTGCCTTTTTCAAAAGGCCAAGGATCGGCTTGGAAGTCTCGGCCATACATGGTAGGAAACGAGATAAAGCTGTTAGTCGACCAACTAACTTTTGGACCTCTTTCAAGTTTGATGGACTCCTCATGTCGATGATAGCTTGGCATTTGTCCGGGTTAGCCTCGATGCCCCGACTTGACAACATGAAACCTAAAAACATGTCGTCTGAGACGCCGAATACACACTTATCGGGATTAAGTCTCATCTGATGTTTCCGAAGGGCCCGGAAGACTTCGACGAGATCGGTTACATGGGCAAGTGTGTCGGCCGATTTGACAAACATATCATCCACGTAAACTTCCATATTTCTCCCGATTTGATTGCCGAAGATCTTGTCCATGAGCCTTTGATATGTGGCCCCAGCATTCTTCAGGTCGAATGGCATTACTTGGTAGCAGTAATTGGTAGATTCTGTAACAAATGTCGTTTTGTCTTCGTCTCGAGGGTACATTCGAATTTGATTGTAGCCCGAGTATGCATCGAGGAATGTTAGGAACTTGTGACCAGCCGCCCCATCCACCAATCGGTCTATGTTTGGCAATGGATAAGCATCCTTGGGGCAGGCTTTGTTCAAATCTGTGTAATCAGTACACATTTGCCATTTGCCATTCGACTTCTTGACCATGACAACGTTGGTTAGCCATGTTGTGTATTGGATTTCTCGAATGAAACCTGCTTCAAGGAGCTTAGACGTTTCGGCTTCAACCACTTTTTTCCTTTCTTCCCCCATTTTTCTCTTACGTTGGGCGACCGGTTTGGCCTCCCGGCACACTGAGAGTCGATGACATAAGAAGTTAGGGTCAATCCCGGGCATGTCGGCCGGCCTCCATGCAAAGAGGTCTTTGTTTTTCTTTACCACATTTTCGATTTCACGCCTTTCGGTCTCGGACAGGTTGGAACCTAGGTAGGTTACATGCTGGTTGGTCGGCCTGATAATCAGTGGGTATCGATCTTCAATCGGCTCGACCCTCTCATCTTGCTCCATTCGAGGGTCGGTCTACAACCGTTTCGAGGTCTTGGGCTACCGAATGCACGCGTTTCTCTCGACTCGGCTCGGTTGCTCCGAGGCGGGGCAACCAGAGACTAGCGAAATAACATTCCCTGGCCACTTTCTGATCTACATGTACTGTGATGATTCGGCCTGATTCAGAAGGAAATTTCATGGCTAAGTGCGGGGTTGACACAATCGCACCTAACCTATTGAGGGACGGTCTTCCAAGAAGAATGTTATATGACGTGTTAGCATGCACAACCACATACTTGATCGGGATGTCTTTGACTTCGGGTCCATCGGAACAAAAACGAGTGGATAACTTGATGTATCCTTTTGTTTGTACACGCTCACCAGAAAATCCAACCAGCGGCTCATTGTATGGGATCAGTTCGGCTTCCGGGATGCCGAGTTGCTTGAAGGTATTCCAGTAGAGGATATCAGCCGAACTTCCTTGATCGACCAATGTCTTCCGAACGATGCAGTTGTGGATCTCCACGCTGATGACCATGGGATTGTCCTGATCAGGATCGATGCCCTTGAAATCAGCCTCAGTGAATGTGATGGCCGGCAACCTCTGCCGGGTGCACTCAACCGCATGGATAGTTCGGACAGCTCGTAGATGTCTCTTCTGTGCTGAGGAGGTGGATCCTCCGCCCGCAAATCCACCGGTAATAGTATTGATGACCCTTCGAGGTTGAGTTGTGGGCTCGACTTCTCTTCGGTCTCTCGACCGGCTTCGTTCCCTGTGAGGGTGCCTATCAGATCTCTCTCGGCCATGTTGTTCCCCACGATGCCGGTGATCATCGCGTCTGGGAGAGCGGGGCCGATCGACAAAACGTTGAAGCTGCCCTTGCTTGATTAAGTCCTCAATTTTATCTTTAAGAGCTGCACAATCCTCAGTTGAGTGACCTCGGTTTCGGTGTTATTTGCAGGACTTGGTTGTGTCGGCACGTGGAGGGGTTAACGCTCGTTTTGGTACTGCCAAAACCTCTAAAGCGAGTGCCTGATCTAGGACAGCAGATCGGCTGGCGTTCAATGAGGTGTAATGAGAATACCTTGGTCCTCGTGCGGGTTTTTCGCGGGAAATTTCTTTAGGACGACTCCGATAGTTGCTCTCGGCTGGCTTATCGGCTTTGGCGGCTATCTCTGCCCGTGCTTGATTACGGAACTCAGCTAATTCCTCCATTTGCATGTATTTGTCGGCGCGCCGACGCAAATCATCCATATCAGTTGGGGGTTTCTTACAGATGTTGTTGGCGAAAGGTCCCGGTTTCAAGGCGGTGGTAAGGTGGTGCAGAGCTACAGCAGGGTTGAGGTCTCGGATCTCCAAAGCGCTTTATTAAATCGGCTCATGAAGGTTCGAAGGGATTCCTTCTTTTCTTGTCTTATGCTTACCAATGAGAGCGAGCTGAATGGTGAATTGAGATGATAATGTATTGAAGGAGTCGACTGAGTTGGCTGGAAGTCGTGTGAACCAGCTTAATGCCCGACCCTTTAACGAAGTTGGGAAGATTCGGCACAAGGCAGCATCGTCAGTAGTACTGAGGGTGACCTAAGTCAAGAAGATGTTGACATGCTCGTCAGGGTCGGTGGAACCATCATACTTATCGAGTGGCAATGACTTCCAATGGTCAAGGAGTGCCGTCTGCATAACACTTGGAGTAAAGGGATGTCGATGTGCTTCGGCCGGCAATGGTTGTATCGGTCGGCTGCCCGAAGCATGGGCAGCTGGGGCAGCGACAGAAATGTGGGGGATGGTGTGATGGCCGTGCGAGTGGAACGACCCTTGAGTGTGGTCGTCTCAGATGGTTTCCATGTGGGGTCTCGGTACTGGTTTTTCAGAGCAGCATTCTCTTCTCTCAATGCGGCCATCTCGGGGGCATCTCTCTCTCGTTGTTGTTTCATGGCGGTCATTTCTTCCTTCATCTAGCGTACCATATCGGTCAAGTTTGTCTCCTCAACCGTCTCGGCCCCGGACTGGTGCTCCTCTTCGGACTGTTGCCCTTCAAAATTAGTATTCCTTGTCTTTACCATGATTCTTTTCCTCGTAAACTTTCGATGTTTCTGCAATGCTTTCGGTTCGGCCCCACGGTGGGCGCCAAAAATGTACCTGTCTGAGGGTACACTCGTAGTCTTCTGGGGTGTAGGAGGGCCGAACGAGAGCTTTAGGTGGATTCTTTGGAGGGGGGAGGTACCTGCAAAAGGCACTCCAACGCTCAAGTCAGGATATGCACAATTTTCTAGGGTAATAAATGAACAGTGACCTACCTCGTTACGTGTGACCTATTTATAATACCTGACATGGGCCTGAGCATGGTGGGCCTTCTCTGACATTTACCAAATTAAGTAATACGATGTTAATCGGCTGATTATGTCTTAATCATGTACTTATCCTTACTAATCATAATCGTCGTTCTAATTATTCGATGCTGACTTTTGGCCGAGCCGAGACAACACGGCCGAAATGTCCTCTCTCGGCTTCTGGCCGAGCCGATAGGGGAAGAGCACAGTTCTTAGTCCCCTGTCGGACCGAAGTGGTATTCGAGCAGTATCATCTGATAGTATATGGCATGCCGGTCCACGTGGTCGATCCACGTGGCCGATAGGGTCCTTCCGGTACAAAGGGGTTATCACAGTGGCGATGGAGAGAATGGTGAGGGAGAAACAGAATTGGAGAGGAGGAGAGAAAAACTGATGACTTGGTCAATGTTTTTATGTGAGAGGCGTACACTAAATTAGATGAAAACTAAATTACTAAAAATCATTATTTTTAGTGCACCATGAATCATTTGAAGGAGTGGTCTACCCTAAAATTCATTAGTTTTGAGTATTTATGGAATATGTACTTGACCTTGTATTCTTGAACAATAAAAAGATGAAAAAATATAATTATTAAAAATATATTTTAATTTAATTTTTAGTTTATATCAATTTAAATTAAATTTATTCATTATATCTAACTTATAAAATACTTTTTTTTATTCTTTTAGCCCATGTAGTTTTTTTTCATTTTTTATACTTGTAAGTTCATTTTTTTATCCATATAAATTATTTTTTTCTCAATTTTACAATTGCTAACATAACAATATTATTGATGTAACATTAATTAAATAATATTATATTGACTTGATACTTGATGACTATCAACATCTAAAAAATTTTGATCTTGTTCACAGATGGTTTAGACTTTCATTTTAAAAATTTCATTAATTAAGGAATGACCGAATGCCAAACTATTCCCCAACTAATGGTTTTGAAAAGTGTTCATGGAGTCGTTACTAATATTTTGCTCAAAATCATTGAAAAAAGAAAAGAAGAAATTTAAAATACCAAAACAGCCTTTACAATCAGAATTTGGTTCGGTGGTCGATTACGTGTAGGAAAGGTGTTAGGTATTCTACAACACCCTGAATTGGTACCCTATAATGAAACTAGCGCAATTAAAAACAATAATTTAAATATTAAGTTCCCTTTTATTAATGATTAATTACATATTTACACGATTTGCCCTAAAATATTTACATGATTGCTTTCATTTACAACAATAAGAATAAATAGTGAAGAAAATACCTCATAGAACGAACTTTTATAAATACTTCCAATATAGTAAATTTGAGGCACTTTTTGACTACCTTTCACACTTCAAGGTACCTCACAAATCTTAAGAAGTACAAAAAAGAAGAAAAGAAGTGTTTAGACTCTAGAGGGACTTTTAGAGACTAAATTTTCGACCCCTAACACTCTTCACGAGCCTTCTATTTATAAGCACAGAAATCCACCAAAACGGGCCATTCTGAATTCAAAATGAGCTGTTCTAGATGTTTCTATTACGCACAAAATTTGAAATTGGAACGACCTTCTCCTAGAGCGAAATGACCCATTCTGGATTTGAATTTTGCATGTAACAAACTAGGTCAGAATGGGGCGTTCTAACCTAGGGTTACATGCTTTTTTCTAAGCTTAGAACAGGTTGTTCCCTACTAATTATGGAACTTTGTGTTTTGGATCTCTGGATGTCATGTTAGCCTACTATGGTGTTGTGTTCGGGTCTTCAAGAACTTCTTCTTCATGATGAAAGTTCATTTCTTTATTTTTGTGCCCTCGGACGAAATTAGGTGTCTACAATGACATTGTAATGACTAACCATGACCGCTACACTACACCAAAACACTACTTAACAACTGTAATACATATACTACTATAAGTATACTATAAATATATACATAGGTGTACAACTGAGTTGCTTATCAAGCAACTATAAACAACTATACAAAATCTACCACATCCGGTAGTCAACAAAATAAAACCAACTACTTAGCCATTGAATGACTCCCATCAATAATGCTCCAGCCTATTCCTGTCCTGCTCTTATACAATGTATGATCATCATAGTCCAAACCACATGGAAACATGCAAGGGTAAGCTAGGTAAAATAAATAACTTATATAATTAAACATGCAACACATCAACTATAAATTCATCTTCACATCCAACACAACAACAAACAACACATATATGCTACACATCTTAACAACACCTCAACATTTCAACAGATATCAACACAATATCAACACATATGTTTCGTCACGTATTTCAACTCAAAGATCTCCTACAACACAGGGTGAGTAGTTTAAGTGGCTAAATCCTACCGAACCGACAACAAAGAACCTTTTTGGGCTTGTTAGGTAAATAATAAATTTGGATAAAAATCTACAATACAATAACGGTTTCTCAGACTTTGCCACTTAAATAAGGAAGTATAGTACTATGTCAAGATAAAATAACTGGGTCTAGGCCTACCACAACACTAAGTAGCTTAACTAAGCTACCTATGGGATTAGCCTATCAACTATCCTTCAAAGACTACAATCCTCCGATACTCGATTTGGAACTAAGTTCCCGACTTCTTACTTTACTCAATTTTGGTTGCTTGTAATTAGTATAGCTCGACCTGACCCCTATACCGTGGTCGCTTCATACATGTGTCTCGACCTTGCCCACACATGTGATCAACTAAGTCCTAAAGGAGAACAACACATCATCCACTCTAAGGGACAACTTCCTAAGGAGGGTTTTTCAACAAATTAAGCTTTTAGATCACCACAACTATCTCAATCCACACAATAGGATGAACAACTTCGAAAACATCTCCCCTAGTACTAGTGGTCAACAACTCATCGTCACAACACAACAACACAGTTTATCAACTCATCAACTCATGTAACTCACAACTTTAACAACACAATCAACTCAACAACTCATGTATCAACTCTACATGCCTACACACTTCAATAGCGGACTACTTGAGCTCCTATATCCCTTTCCCTATTTCTATGGTCTCAACATGCATCTTATAACTTTTGACTAAATCATCTCATCATGCTTCAACAACATCATCATTCAACACAAAATTGAGCAACACACAACTTGTAAACATTTTTAACAACACACAACACCTTCAGTATACAACTTTTCAACCATCTAACAACTCAACCACATATAAAACAACTTATTCACAGCATTAAAGCATAATAAAATACTATCATAGCAAAATAAAGTCATGCCTAGTGAAATTATTATCTCGCTCGACGTGGATCTCATCTAGAGAGCTCCAAGCTCTCTCACACTCGACATGGAGAAAATCCTGCCCGAGATTGATTTGGTAGAGATTCCCCCAAAAGAATCTCGCTCGGCGTAGGGGAAGTCCCGCTCGACACGAGCTTGGCAGAGACAATTTCCCCTCAAAATTCACCCGACGTAGAGGAACTACGCCTAGCGTATGTCTTGGCAAAGACTTCTTTAAGGAAATCTCGCCCGGCACGGGTACTCATGCCCAATGTAAGGCTTGGTAGAGAGTCCCTAGGTAAATCACACCCGACGTGATTACCTTACGCTCGGCCTCATATTAGTAGAGGCACAAGCACTCCAAGTTCTGATATCGTGCCTGACGTAACCTATCCCACGCCCAATGCCACTATCTAGAGACCTCAATCCCAATTCACACATGACGCAACCCACTTTGCGCTTAATGTGAACATGAAAATAAGGCATCTGATGAATGCCAGCCCAACGTCATGAAGGCGCGACTGGCGCGAATTCAAAAATGGGCACCACAAGTTTGAAAATTTGAACCAACACCTGCAATATAAGAAAGATCCAGCGCATGCAATCCACAAATACATCAACATTGACCACATAAAACATATAAACTTCAAGAAAAACATGTATTCATCACAACTCAAGAAATCATCAAAGTTCAACTTTTCTTCCAAAAACCTCAAAACTCCCAATTGATTCTATGATTCTGCTCATATTCATCCATGGAATCAATCCAACAACTTAGCATCTCAATCTAACTTTGACAATTCTAGCTTCCCTTACCTCTTAAAGGGAGAAAAATCCGACTCCGAGCTAACGAGAAGGAAGTAGGAGAAAAAAGAGATACTCAGCTCCATACGACTTGATTCAAGGTTCTCCACCACTTGAATCACAAACAACATGACTTAAATGAGTAATAGAGAAGAAAAGAAGATTAAGAGAGGAGACCTCACAAATTAGAGTCATTCTATCTAAAAATTTATCTCTCTAAGAAAGTCTCACACACATCTTTTATTGACATATCATATAGGAATATCAACAAATTAATATTTTTGTATTGGACTTTGTGACAAGAGAAAAAAAAAACTTTAGATTTTAAAAATACGGTAAATCACATGAAGAAAAATCAATATTTAAAATTTAAAATATTATATTATCAAAAATATTTTAACCTTTTCAAATTTTTTTGGTCAAGCTCCCCCGCTTACCGGCGATGAGTTCTCATCGAAAGATGTTGGAGAACACTAAAATTTGAGCATTGGTAATTCGAATACGATTAGAGTCTTTGTCACACAGTCACACTTGAAGCATCGTTGGAGGCACTTCAC